CACAAAACAAGGTGTGAAGTAACCATGCAAATTACTTGGTACCCTTAAGTGTTTACCCCTCAATCGATGTGCCGGTTAACCACACACGCTCCATCGATACTATGATAAACATTAAGTTACCCTTTGCCTACCTTGTTAAATACGAGTTAGTGTGCCGGTTAACCACACACGCTCCACTAACCGACTTAAACAAAGTGCAAAGTGTAATTTCATGGATTAGCACCTTATTCACATTTTCCTAAGTAACTAAGATTGGGTATTATTAAGAGTTTAGTTACTTAGTATTTATCATTAATACTTTTAATGAAGGGAGAATTATAGTCATGTCAAACCCGTTCGGCTAACGACCCTCCACCAGTCAAGCAAGCGGTGGGTGAGAGTGGACACCCATTAAGTTGCCATTTTATAGGCAACAACCTTATACCCACCTTATAGACCGGCTTCGTGAATGAGGCGTACTAGCGGTAAGACCGACTTTACTCTTATACATATATATATATTAACTTATAATATTATAAGTATAAGGGTTGAATTTTAACTTTTAAAATTCTAAGGGCTAACTTGGAATTAAAGTATTCATAAGAGAAAACTTTACAAATTCCAAAACTTGAGGGCAAGTTTTGAAACTATTCAAAACTAATTAATTCCATAACTTATATGTTTAAAGTAGTTTTAATCCAAAAACTCTTCAAGTTCCATAACTTGAGGACAAATTATGGAAGACTTTAAACTAATAAAGAATTAACTTTTTCTTTATTTTATAACTTATGGAATTAATTAAGGTTACATATTTTTTTTATTTATTTATTAATGAAGTGACTCTTGAACCTCCATAACTTAAGGACAAGACTCTTCATCTTTTGTAACCTTTGCCAACTTTATGAGTTTTATGAGTCTTTAATGTGACTCTTCATGTAACTTAAGGATAAGTTACACAAACACATTTTATACTCAACTCTTAGATTAATTTGGATTGAAAACAACTTTTTCACTCAACTTTTCTATTAATCTAAGCAACTCATAAGAACAAGATAATTCAAATCAAACTTTTTCATGTAATTAGTCTAACCTTTAAACTAATACAAAACATGAATCTATTGACAATTATCTTTGAAAATGGATTAGCATGAACATTACCACATTAAAAACAAGTTTATAAGTTCAAAACAACTTAGGGTAATGTTCCTAGTCCATTTCTAGCCAAAAACCTCGAAGATATGCTGTCTGGGGTCCAACTCGTCGAGTGCATGAACACAACTCGGCGAGTTGGATGCATTTTGCCTTGGACTCGTCGAGTCCCTTCATGGACTCGGCGAGTCAGCTGGGCTGACAGCATCAAAACTCGATTTTTCAGCTTCTATTGCAGTATAACAAGAAAACAAGCCTAGGCTCTGATACCACTGTTGGGTTATGAGCATTCTAACACTCCTAAGTGTACATGCAACCCTAAATACCTTGGATCTATGTTTTCTCTATTATACATGCAAATATGAACATCCAAGGTATTATCCTAATCTAGCATACAAAATATCAATATAACAAGATAGAATACATACCTCTTTGATGTGCTTGTCTTCATGAAGCTTGAGTGCCTAGTGCCCCAAGTGTGACACCTCAAATGGTTCACACAACACCATAAGCACTTGGAATAACTTAGAGAGAAATTAGAACACTTCATGAAATCGTCTAGCCCTCATACACACACATAGTCACGATTTCTTGAGCCATGGGTTTCTTTTATATGGTGGCTATTAGGGTTACACCATGTAACTCATGACTTTACCCATTCCTTATGCTCCATGGATTTTAACCTCCATGGAGTATCCATGGGTCACCCCATGGACTTAGTCCAACATAAGGAATCTTGGATCACAAGCCCACATATATAAGAATGAATGATTTACACAATCAACCCATATATTTAATTAGTCTCCTTTTGATCACTTAATTAATTCCAAATTAATTCTTGATCAATACTAATTAAATAACCTTATTAATATATTAGAACTTATAATATATTAACAAACCTTAAGTGTTATTTCTCTCATTTTAGTCTATCCAAGTGCATGATGCCATGCAACCCAAATGGACCATGCCGGGTCGGGTCAAGTTTTACCAATTATAGTTATGGATTTAGACATTAATCCAACAAAAAGTTCACGCTACAGAGCCAGAACTCACACTTGGAGAGTTTTGCGTATAGCTTCTCAGTTTGCATGGTTTCCAGGATTTGTCGGAGATGTTGGCCATGCTCTTCTTCGCTTCGGGAATAGAGTAGAATGTCGTCAATGAAAACAATAACAAAGTTGTCGAGGAATGGTCGGCAGATTCGATTCATTAGGTCCATGAATGCGGTAGGGGCATTCGTTAGACCGAAGGGCATTACGACAAATTCATAATGTCCGTAACGAGTTCGGAAAGCGGTTTTGGGAATATCCTCTTCCTGGACCTTGAGTTGATGGTACCCGGATCGTAGATCTATTTTAGAGAAGTAACTAGCTCCTTGGAGCTGGTCAAATAGATCGTCGATTCGTGGGAGTGGATAGCGATTTTTGACAGTGAGCTTGTTTAGCTCCCTATAATCGATGCACATCCTAAAATACCCGTCCTTCTTTTTGACAAAGAGAATCGGAGCTCCTGAAGGCGAGTAGCTGGGTCGGATGAATCCTTTGCCTAAGAGTTCGCTGAGTTGGCAGGACAATTCCTGCATCTCAGCAGGAGCTAGTAGGTAAGGCGATTTAGCGAGGGGGTTGCTCCTGGAACAAGATCAATTCGGAATTCAACTTGTCTCTCTGGAGGTAGTCCAGGAAGATCTACAGGAAATACGTCTGGGAATTCACGTGCTACTGGAATGTCTCGCACGTTAATTCCTTGGTTGTATCCACTATATGCACCAGGAACGTCAAATCGTTCTTTCGCAGATGCTTCTGTGCCTGGAAGCACGAGATGAGGCGAAGGTTCGTGCTAGTTTTGTCTCTGTAAATAACTAGGGTTTTGTGATCAGGAAGGTGAAGGCGAACGGCCTTCTCGTGACACATAATTTCAGCATGGTTGGGGCTTCTACAGTCCATGCCAATAATCACATCAAAACTCTTAATGGAAACAGGCATTAAGTCTATTCGGAATATGTTTTGATTTTGGAGTTAGGGTACATCCGATGTAGACTACCCCAGTGGATTCGGTTTTCCATTGGCCATTTCCACCATAAAGGTTTCATTGAGCTTTAGGGATTATTGTTTTAACAAATGTTTAAACTTATTGTTCAGGAAACTCCGCTCTGCTCCGGTATCAAATAGGATGCATGCATAAGTGTGGTTTAGGAGAAACGTACCGGTAACAACAGCAGAATCCTGAATCGCTTCTCCCTAACCCATGGTTAGCACCCTTCCTGTTCCTCCATTTCCGGGATTGTTGTTGTTGGGGCAATTTAGACGGAAATGCCAAGTCCTTCCACATCCATAGCAGGTGTCGCTAGGTCCTGCATTGTTTCTTCCATTGTTGATGTTGTTGTTATTGCGGTTATTGTTGTTATTGTTTCCCTGTTGGTTGTTGTGAGGAGGGTAAGTCCTGCAGTACTTTGTCGTGTGCCCCTTCCGATTGCAACTGGTGCACTGCATCTCTCTCCATTCTCCATTATGATGGAGACCGCACTTGCTGCAATTGAGAAGATTAGCAGAATAAGGTCTAGGAGCACTTGGAGCAGCTGAGGCTAGAGCATGTGGTGTGGATGGAACTTGAGTGGTCGCAGTATTAACTGCCACTGTTTGATGCTTCTTGGACGATTCGGAGCCTTGACGCCCCTTTCTCTTGTTGTTCTTCCCCTTCTTGCTATCATTTTCCTTCTTAACTTCAGTCTCCACTAGCTTCTCACCCTTCTTGTTGTCGTGGTCATACAGATTCTTGGCCAATCTCTTGGCACTGTCGAAAGTTGCGGGATTTGTAGCTATCACGTTTCCTTGGATCTAGGAGGTTAGTCCCTAGATGAATCACTCAACCTTATTACCTTCTGAGGTAATCATGCCAGGGCACAACAGAGACAGTTCGCTAAACCTTGATATGTAGGCGTCTATATCAGCGTTCCGGACAGTGAAATTCCACAGCTCTTCTTCCATTTTCTGAATTTCACCATGAGGGCAATACTCGGCCATCAACATTTCTTTCATCTCTGTCCATGGCATGGAATTGGCTACGGGGAGTGTCATCGCTTCCACGTATCCGTTCCACCAAGTGAGCACTTGGTCAACGAAAGTGCATGCGACAAACTTCACCTTCATCTCCTCAGGACAATCGCATATCTCGAATACCAATTCCACCTTCTCGATCCATCATTTCAGGTTGATCATCCCTCCAGTACCATTAAAGGTTCGTGGTTTGGCGTTGGTGAAGTCTTTGTAGGAACATGTTTTGGTGGGTCCTTGATTCATCCCGTTGTTCGAACTTCCGACCCCTTGTTCGTTGACTCCTAAATTGTTCCCTTGGTGAATTTGTGCCATTACTGCGGTGACTGCAGTAGATACAGCTTCTTGGAATGCAGCCGAGTCGACTTCGGGTGGGGTTGGCCTAGGGTTTCCGTGAGTGGGTCATTGAGGCGTCTTTCTGTCATGGAACAGAAAGATGTTGAGTGTTTGGGGTTTTTGTGAGGTTGTGATCTTATAGACTAGGTTCGTGGCATGAACTTAAGTAATTGTACAATTTAGCATACAATCATGGATACGTAACACATAGCAGATTATAACGTCACAATAAAACATGTAAAATCTTTCATTACTATTACCCGCAGTTTGATACATGAAATTTTTTCTCGAAAGAGCATACATAAGCGGTACTAGTTTGACAGCATAACGACTTTATGAGTAGTGTAGTTACTTAAACATAGAGTCGGGGTACATAGCATAGATCCCAGTACTAGCACTAAAGACGAGTGTAACTAGTCCCTCGTATGGTGGAACCTATCTAGCGGGTAGTAGAGTAGGTCCTATTATTAAGGATGACGAAGACACTCAATCGTCGATGTGACGCACCAGAAGTTCAGCCAGTTCATCCGCCTCTTGGGTGATTACCTCTACTTTTCGCTCGGCTCGTGTGGCCCTTGCCTTGGCCATGATGAGTTGAAGCTTCAGGGTGATCACTACCTCCTCGAGGGCACGTAAGTATTCTGTATCCACCCCTTGAAACATGCGTAAATTTGATGGGGCTTCCAACTGGTGAGGTTCACTACACCCCTCCTCTACGACCTTTTCTTCATCTGGCTCCTGGTCCAACTCATCATAATCGTGATCAACCATCACGTATTCGTCTTGTTCCTCTTTAGGTCTAATGTTGTGTGCCTTTCATTGATCTACCTCTGGCTCATCCTTGAATCTCCCGTGTGCTACTAGGACTTAATGAAACTAGAGGCCCTGTTGCTCCCCCTCCATAGCAACTGGGAGGAAGTATACGAATATACTATCATTACTCCTATGTCTCTACAATTATTGCATAGATTGAGATGATCTTCTCATCTTGGTGATAAAGGGTATGTTTTTAGGTTCCCTAGCTATCACGATTTCCTCAGGATATGTGATAGCTGTACCTTGGAGGGAATGTAGTTGATCAGGCTACATCCACTCCTTGATACGACTAAGAACAGTCCTAGATTAACCGAGATACTAGCATTATCTGGTTTGGTTCGGTATTATGTTCTTTTTCCTAATACAAGTAAGGGTGTTTTTATTGTTATGTTTTACTTGTTTTGTTCAGAGCTATGTTAGTCCCTCTTTTTGGTTTATAGTTGCATATCAATGTGTGGTTAGATATGCTAGTTCACTATAAATAGAGTGCTGATACCAATCTGTCACACCCCCGAACCAGACGGCGAAAATGTCTGAGGGATATTTTGACTTAAATTGAATACCATTACAATCATTATACATGAATCATAACATCATTCATCACCATGCATTGAAATAATACAACTGATATTGTTTACATCTATTACATTGTTTTAGTCATTTCAATTTCATAACATAAACCGTTCAATAGATAATCTAAGCAAAACACCATCACATAACTTGGTACTTATTCTTCGGCTTACCTGTTACCTGAGAATACAAGTTATTTTGAAAAACATCAACATATGAAATGTTGGTGAGTTCATAAGTAATGTTGTAACAAAATAGTTTGGTGTAGTTTGTAAAACCCAGAAAATCCGATATTTTTTGAAAAGAGTATTTGCTTATAAAAAAAAGTGTGAAGATCCGTAAATATGCTTGTCAATTTCTTAAAACATGTATAATTGTTGAACTTTGTATACATCACATAGGTGAAAATATTCAACTTCCCAGAGAACCCGATGTTTTCCCAATACGCATATTACATGACTTGTTTAATGTTATACCGATACAACGAATGTTTTCGATTACCCACGTGATATTGGATTAACTAGGGTTTGTGAGTTGTTACAATCACGCATTAATGAAAATGACTAGTTTATACCTACAAGTTACAAATGATCCTTACGGCGTCGTCCGTACAACTCACATAATCCAACCACCCTGACTTCTCTTGATTAACGCCACAAATCTGTTTACTTGAATTCTCATAAGCCGATCAACCGAGGAGAAAGGAGGGTACGAAGCCGCCTTTATTTCTACAAGTTATTCAAGGCTATCGGGAGTGCGAAAGGCACTTGGCCTAACTCGCATTTGACTTCTCGACCTCACTAGAAGTACTAATGGACCATTAGGGCCCAATAGCACAATAGAGCTATTGAAAGTCCTTTTACATGGAATTGGGTCATAGGAGGCCCATTAACATGTTAGCACATTCCCTTTGGGCCCAAAGATTAGGTTATTGGGCTAGCAAGGCCCAACAAGCATGATTTGAAACTTTCAAGCCCAAAGTTTGAATGTTGACTCATCATAGTTATCGCGTCTTTATTGAAATACTTTGGTTTATTGATTTTTTTTGTTTTGTTATTGATTCGAGATAGAATCAGTTCGTTTTGTAACGATATTTATTATTGAGTGTGTATTTGTTTTTTTCCATTTCGTCGGTAGTCGTGGATCATGTATTTTGTCTTAGTGAATGAATTTGTTTAAAAGTAAGATTTTTACCTTTTCACAACCTTTCTTTTATAAAAATAGCACTTTTAGTCCTTCATATAAAAGAATTTCATTTTAGTCCTTAAAACATTATTTTGACGCTTTTGTATCATAAACTTGTTGAAAAGACATTTTAACCCTAAATTTATTTGTAAACAGCTTTAGCCCTTCCAGAATGATGTTTTCTTGGTTAAAACCCCCATTTCGCAAGTTTTACAGTTTTGGCCCAAAATATAAATTTTTTACATTTTTATCCTTTTTGAATTTGAAAACCATTTTTGACCTTTGAAATAGTTTTAATACACTTCAAATCCCCATGTTTTATAGAAAATTGCATTTTCTGCCCCTCAAACTTAGAAATCTCACATTTTGAGGCTTATTGGGCCGGGAAGCGCAAATCTAGCCCATTAGGTTCAAAATTTACACTTTAAGTCCATTAAAAATGTTGTTGTTCAGAAAAATTATTATAGAACCTGTTTGGAACCTTTTGACCGTCCAGAAACTATAAATTTGTCGGTTTGTTCCCTTTGATTTGTATTTTTGACATTTTAAGCCCTAAAATGTGTTTTATGTTAGGATAAGTTCACCCTAACCTCATAAACTATTTTTGTTGACTTGATTAGTGTATAATAACTTAACATGTGTTTATTTCCTTTCTCATGCCTTAGATCTTGGTTTTTACACAATATTTGATAACATATTCATTACAACACATGATATCACACACACACATGCATCAAATCACACATAGCATACATTTACACATAGATCTACACATTTACTTGTATTCTCCCCCATAAAACTCATAAAAACCAAAAAGGAAGGGGTATGAAACTCAACTAGAGTTGTGGATTGGTTTTGAAGAAGAAAAGAGAAGAGTTTGTTTCTATTTTCGGCTTTAGCAACCTTTCTTGGAAGATCTCAAACTTAAAGAGTTTCTAAGGTGCAAGATCATGAATTCATATGAGTTAAGAAGAGATTTTGATAAAACAAAGAGTCTAGAGTGTGGATCCAAGCATCAATTTACCTAGGATGATGATTTTTGTGAAGAATCCTCCTTGCAAAGCCCTTGAATCTCGAAATTTTTGAAGGAGAAATGAAGGAATTTGTAGTGTGTTCTTGAGATTATTGAAGTGAAATAATTTTTGTGTGTGTGTGTGATACTCTCGACCAAGAGTAATAGAAGAAGAGAGAGAGAGAGAGAGAGAGAGAAGTGAAAGGATATGCATGGAGACATGTGTAGTTTGCTTGGATATCCCACACGTATTAAGGAGGTGGCTAATCCTCCTTAATTCTCAAATTCTTTTTTTTACTACTTGGGCCGAGAGGTAGAGAAGAGAGATAGAGATTTGGGCCTTTTGTGATTAAATCCATAATATGGAGCCCAAGTTAATGGTTTTCAACCCATTGGCCCTTTTAGAGTAATTCACAGCCCAAAATTCACCAAAATATGAGTTTTATGGCCCATTAGGGCTATTAAAATTTGTTTTAGGCCCAATATGGTCCATTTGGGTATTTTATTTCATTCTAGGCTCAATATGGCCAAAAATGTTAAAATAAATGAAAGTGGGTCCAATTAGAGCCCATTTAAGAGTTCTAAGCCCAAGATAGTCAAATTGGAAGCTTATTGGTCCATTGGGCCCAATAAGGAAGTCCTAGTACAAAATGGACTTAAACAAGGACTTCTAGGGTTTCCAATTATTTGTTGACTATTTGTAGTGCTTGTATGAAGTGTTTGATTGAAATTCTGTTGTCATAGAGTAAGCATCATGCATGCTTTCATGTTTTTGATTCATAGTTGACATAAGTTTGTAGTTACAAGCCACCAAAAATTTCTATTTATGACAGCTTTAGATTCTCCCAGCCCATAGAATTTGTCACTACCAGAGTTAGTGACTTGACGTGACCATTCCACCACGTCAGAGATCTCTCGGAGAATGTAAAAGTGGCAAATTTTACCTTGCTCACTTCTAGAGATGCACAGATCTCGAAAATCGCTTTTGTTTTCTCTATCCATTTTGATAGAGCCGTTATCCCTCCAGATCCATTAAAAGTTATGTTCTTGCTATTGGTGAAGTCCTTGAAAGTGCAATCCCCTGAACGTCCCTGGTGTTGGCCATTCGTAGAGATATTTACTCCACTTCCGGACCGATTATTACTCATCTGTGTCATTGCTAATATCACCGCAGCTGTTACAGCAACTATCAAGGCGGCATTATCCGTTGATGGAGGTGGTGGTGGTGGAGGTGTTGTGTTGTTGAAACGGTGTGTAGATCTACGGGGCGACATCGTTCTGCTAGAGAAACAAAATAAAATGTCGGTTGGTACCCTAATTTTTGTATTTTTGACATTTTAAGACATAAAATGTGTTTTATGGTAGGATATGTTCACCCTAACCTCATAAAATATTTTTGTTGACTTGATTAGTGTATAATAACTTAAGATATGTTTATTTCCTTTCTCATGCCTTAGATCTTGGTTTTTACACACCTTTTGATAACATATTCATCACAAAACACATGATATCACACACATACATGCATCAAATCACACATAGCATACATTTACACATAGATCTACACATTTACTTGTATTCTCCCCCATAAAACTCATAAAAACCAAAAAGGAAGGGGTATGAAACTCACCTTGAGTTGTGGATCGGTTTTGAAGAAGAAAAGAGAAGTGTTTGTTGCTATTTTCGGCTTTAGCAACCTTTCTTGGAAGATCTTGAACTTAAAGAGTTTCTAAGGTGCAAGATCATGAATTAATATGAGTTAATAAGAGATTTTGATAGAACAAAGAGTCTAGAGTGTGGATCCAAGCATCAATTTACCTAAGATGGTGATTTTTGTGAAGAATCCTCTTTGCAAAGCCGTTGAATCTCAAAATTTTTGAAGGAGAAGTGAAGGAATTTGTAGTGTGTTCTTGAGAGTATTGAAGTGAAATAATTTTTGTGTGTGTGTGTGTGATACTCTCAGCCGAGAGTAATAGAAGAGGAAGAGAGAGGGAGAAGTGAAAGGATATGCATGGAGACATGTGTAGTTTTCTTGGATATCCCATAGGTATTAAAGAGGTGGCTAATCCTCCTTAATTCTCAAATTCTTCTTTTTTTTACTACTTGGGCCGAGAGGTAGAGAAGAGAGATGGAGATTTGGGCCTTTTGCGTTTAAATCCATAATATGGAGCCCAAGTTAATGGTTTTC